AAAAAAAAAAAAAAAAAAAAATCATCGTTACTTTACACTCCCTAAACTTCATGTATTTTGCACTTATAACCCTCAAGATTTTAATTTTGCATACTGCATGCTGAGCAAGTCATCAAAAAAGATGAGTATTATTAAAATTTAAAATCATATCCACAATATTTGAAGCATCATGTAAAGAGAAGCAATGCAGCATTATGACCTTCTCATCCAGCTTTATTATTAGCTCCAAGCAGCTTACAAGCATTATTTCACTGAGTTCAAATATGAATCTTAAATAGGATCACCAAAGCTAAAACTTACATAAATATACTTGCTCAACACTCTTTATAACAGAAAAGAAGAAAAACAAACAAATCTGCAGTTCAAAAGGAACTCAAGACACGACACAAAAACACGAACAGTAGGGGGAAAAAGTTCAAAAACAAATGCCATCAGATGATAATCTATCACACAGCAACCTGACCGAAAAGACTCTTGCGTATCTGCAATCAGATACAAATTTAACGTGAATATGGAAGGTTATAAAATAACCGAAACAAAAATCGCTAAGGTAGGACTACATATCTTTTTTTTTCCCCCATTACATTCAGATATATTGATGTTCACATATGAAATAATAATTGGCGAGGTATTAATCGAAATCGGTGGACCCTTGAAATAACTAATAGTTCACATATTATTAACACATAGAGAAAAGGTTTTGAGGAAAAAAGTTACCTCGGGCAACTTTTTACGGAAGGCAACATCCAATCTAGCATCAAGAGTGTTCTCAAACACAATCTTCCCATCCCTAGAAGCCAAGACCACACCGCCCGAGCTAGAAATACAACATACAAAACGAGTTACGGGCAATTCTTGTAGTTTCTGAATTTTGAAAGGCAAAAATGCATTTTTAGTCCTATTGGTTTAACGTCATAGCAATTTTAGTCCCAAGTTTCCAACTTTTCGGCTTTTCGTCCTGTGATTTCATATTTTGTTGCAATATCAGTCCTCAAAATATTAAATCACACGACCAAAAGCCGAAAAGTTGGAATTTTGGGACTAAAATTGCTATGACGTTAAACCAACAGGACTTAAAAGTGCAATTTTGCCTTTTTAAAATCTTCTATAAGTCTAGATATGAAAGTA